CAGCTTATAAATCCTTCCCTCAGAGAGGCCCTCCCTAACCCACCCTGGCCCCCAGCCCAAACGAGGTTAGATTCTCCAGTTTACATTTTTCATCCAAAGCACTTGTTTACAATCACTTGTGTAATCTCTATCTCCTCTACTAGCCTATAAACTCTATGAGGGAAGGGACTAAGCTGGCTTTGCTCACTCCTGGATGCACAGAGCCTGGTGCATAAAGTAGATCGATATTTAACAAAATAAAGGAAACTACTATTAGATATAAGAGAATTTCTTAAAGTACCAAGTATGGAAAAATGACAACACATATTTCTTTCCTTTTACAAAAAGAAATATCACACAGTTACCAAGACCTTTTTTCATTCAAAGAGCAGAAAACCTGATTTACCCATCTAGTGGGGAAAACATCAGTTTGGGTTGTTTTAACTTATAAATCAGAAACTGCCTAACTAAAACTTTCAATTCACCGGATAGAAGAATTTTTTTTAAAAAAATAAATCAAGATGAAATGCTTACTTGAGCATTGTCAGGTTCTTCTTTAATTTTGTCCAGAAGTCCCTGCTGTGGTGTCACTGCTTTTTCACATTCACCTTCCAAAGGTTCTTTCATTCTAAATTTTTATATAAAGGAATTCCCCAGTATAAAACTAATAGATATATTCTTGGTAATGGATAGCTGGACTCCTAAAACATAACAGAAAAGATTGGTATTCAGGTTTATTTTTCTTTTTTGTTTTCATGTTTACCTACATTAAAAGCTTTGTATTACCCACAAAGTTTCAGGGCTGAGCACTTGAAAAAGAACTCCTCTGGAGCCTTGACTAACTCTGTTCTTTCTCCCTGCCTTCTGCTCCTTTAGCTACCTTCACATAAGAAAACAGTCCTCCAGCAGTAGCTCCCACTTCCCTAATAGCTTTAAAGACAGGCACTCTGGTCTTTCACATGTTGAAGGTTGCTGAGGAGAAGTAGACTAGCAGATCAAGATATGGGACGAAGTTACCATGCTCTGAGAGGAATGGACGCAAGAAGCAGTTTCTGACTCCATGAGAATTAGTATTTGTAGGCCCACGTCAGCTTTCATTTCTCAAAGCGGGACACACCAACCTCCCTACCTCCACCTCTAACTCAGTCTTCCCTGGAAGCTTTCCTTAGAGCCCCATTTCTTGGCCTAACTCTAATCACAGTTCAAGATGTCATCGCAAGTGAACAGGTACGTCCTTACTTAAAGTGGGCCACCTGACCCTTTCAGGGGGTTGGGCACCTCTAAGCCTCGCTTCACAACCGTTTTCCTTTAAACAAGAAACTCTATTGACCATTCAGACGATTCCCTCCCTCCCCATAAGAGTAAACGTACTAAACAGGACAGACGAAACCTGAAGCAAAAAGGGAGCTCTCCAAAGTTGTCTTTATCCAAACAGACAAGCCAGGCATAGAAAAGGACAACTGGTTTAAAAGCCTGTTCCGAAGAAGAGAACTTTGGACCACTTGCCACGGTTATGACAATCTACGGGCACTCATCCCTCCTCTGAGGATCTCTCGCGTTCCGAAAGTCTCCTTCCCACCAAGAATCCCCACGACCGTCCCTCAGGACGTACGCGGCACCGTAACGTCGGAGGGAGAGCACCAGACCTGCAAGTGACTGTCAGCGCGTCCCTGCGGCGAAATCTGCAACCGCCCCAGCAGCCCCAGACAGGCAGTCCCCGCCCCGCACCGCCTCGTCACGTGGCGCGGCTCCCGCCCCGTCCGCCCGCCCGCGCGGCTCCTCCCGCCATCGCCGCAATCGGACCTACCTTGTGTCGCTTCTCTGCTCCCGGAGGAGCACTGGGCGGGAGACGGGGAATAGGACCCAAGACCCCGCACGAGGACCACGATTATTTTTTCTTAATGGAATTCTGCCTGATCTATCCAAATGCAACACCCGACCGACCACGCGTGCGCAGCCTTAGTCTCCGCCCTCCTTTCCCGTCATGCCCCAGAACTGAGCTGAGTGGACCTTCCCAGCATTCCTCTCTCCTCAGTTATGGTTGACTTCTTAAAGAGACGGAAGATCAATTGTGAAAAGGTGAAGGAAAGGGTTTGGGGAGGAATGTCAGGGGGGTTAGAAGGCGCTGTAAGTGCTCAGCACCATTCTTTAACGCCCATTTCCAGAAAGGTGGCCTGCTGAGACAACATAATAGTAAATAATGCCTGATATTTATTAAGCCAATTGTTTGCTAAGCACTTGACATGAATATCTCACAATCCATACTACAACTCTAAGAGGTATAAATTTTTCTCTCTGAGATATCAATGAAGAGATTAATTAACTTATCCTAAATTAAGATTTGATACAATTTTTCATTGAACATTGTTTCAGAGCTACATTTTGACTGCTGTATACTATTCCATTTTATTAATGTGCTACAATTTAATTATCCACTATTGATGGATGTTTGAGTTGTTTCCAATTTTTGGCTGTTAGAAATGCTGCTGTGAACATTTTTGTCTTTTGTGACACATATGCTCACATTTCTGTTGCGTTTATACTTAGCAATGAAATTGTTTGTTATGTATATGTAAAACCTAAGCAGGTAATGTCACACAATTTTAGAAAGTGGTTGATTTCACTTAACACATCTACCAGCCATGTATGAGAGTTTCAGTTGCCCAAAATGCTTGCCAATAATTACTACTATACATCTTTTTAACTTTAACATTCTGATGGGGATATAGTGGTATCTCATTGCAGTTTTAATTTGCATTACCCAGGTTAATAATGAGTGTGAGTCCATTTGCACGTTTTTTGATATCTGAATATCCTCTCTATAAATTGCCTGTTCAAGTCTCTTACTCATTTTTGTGTTAGATTTTCTGCCATTTTCTTATGAATATATATTCTAGACTTGAGTCTGGCTGTGGGTTTGACTGTATGTGTCCCTTCAAAATTTGTATGTTGGGGCTTACACCAGAAAGTGATGGTATTGAGAGGTGGGGCCTTTGGGAGGTGATTAGGCCATGAGGACTCCACCCTCATGAATGAGATTAATGCTGTTATAAAAGACACGTCCTACAGGGTTTGCCTCTTTTGTCCTTTTAACCCTTCTGCCGTGTGAGGACACTGTGTTCCTTCCTTCCAGAGAACAGCAACAAGGCACCATCTTGGAATCAGAGAGTGAGCCCTTAACAAACATCAAATCTGCCAGAGTCTTGATCTTGGATTTCCCAGCCTCCAGAACTGTGAGAAATGAATTTCTATTTTTTACAAATTACACAGTCTGTGGTACTTTGTTATAGCAAGCAAGGGTGGACTAACATGAGCCTTTTTGAATATACATATTGCAAATATCTTCTCCCACTCAGTAGCTTGCCTTCTCGCTCTATTACTGGTGTCTTTTGATGAACATGAAAAACCTTTATACATAGTGCCTCTTATGTCATGTTTAGAAATATTTTTCTTCCAGAGGTAGGAAATTTCTGGAAGTATTATTACTTTGTCTTTCACATTTAGATCTATAATCCACCTGAAGTTGGATTTTGTATATGGTGTGAAGTAAGTCAGGTTTCATCTTTTCCACGTGAATATTAAATTGATTAAGTTCTATTTTTGAAAAGCCTGTGCTTTCCACCACTGCTCTGCATTGTTGCCATTGTCATATACCAGTATAACTTGTCTCTACATTCATAGATTTGTTTCAGGGCTATGTAGTCTGTTTATTTTGTCTCTCCTGTGGAAATACCTCACTGTCTTAATTTCTGTAACAGCTTTATAATAAATCTTGATATCTTATAGAAAAAGTTATCCCTCCTGTTATGTTCAAGATTGTCTTGGCTTTCCTTGGTCATTTGCATAGTCATGCAAATTTTAGAATCAGCTTGTCAATTGTGATAACTTTACTTACAAATTTTAGAATCAGTTGGGATTTTGTTTAATATTGCACTGAAGTAATATATCTGTTTTGGAGAATTGGCATTTGTTATTCATTGTGTTGAATTGTGTCCCCCAAACAGATATGCTGAAGTCCTAACACTCAGTATGTGAATTTATTTGGAAACAGGGTTGTTGCAGATGTAATTAGTTAAGATGAGACCATACTGGAGTAAGGTGGGCCTTAATCCAATATGACTGGTGTCCTTATGAGAGGAGAAGAGACATAGAGACAGACATATGGGAGGGGAACACCATGTGACAATGGAGACAGAAATTGAAGTAATTGCAAGCCAAGAAATGCTAAGGATTGTTGATAAACAACAGAAGGTAAAAGAAGCCAGGAAAAATTCTCCCATACAGGTTTCAGGGAAAGCATGACCGTTGATCTTTGATTTTGATCTTCTAGCCTCAAGAATTGTTAGAAAATAAATTCTGTTGTTTTAAGCCACCTAGTTTGTGGTACTTTGTTACAGCAGCCTGAAGAAATTAATAACAGCATTATAGAGGGCTGAATCTTTCAATCCATAAAAATGATATATATTGGGCTGGCTCGTGGCTCACTCGGGAAAGGGCGGTGCTGATAACACCAAGGCCCCAGGTTTGGATCCCATATAGGGATGGCTGGTCAGCTCACTGGGTGAGCGTGGTGCTGACAACACCAAGTCCAGGGTAAAGATCCCCTTACCGATCATCTTTTAAAAAAAAAAAAAAATGATATATATCTCCACTTATTTGGATGTCTGTAATTTCTCAATAATATTTTATGCTTTTCAAGTATAGAGATTATACATATCTTTGTTAGATTTGTTCTAAGTGTTTGATATTTTATGCTGTTTTATTTTTTTTCTTTCAAAATTGAGATTTTATTGGTTGTGTTGGGGATCGTTATACAGACATTTCAATTTGTACACAATTCTTAACATATGTACCAAAATTCTAAAAGCCATGTATCAGGATTTTTTTAAAAAGTTTTTCCAGTACCTTCTAGCTTCAAATTTGGAGACAAATTTTCCTTAAGAGGATGTCAAGTACCAGTATCTCCAGATGTTGGTAAGCTGTTACATAAGTCCCACCAATTCACAATTTAATATCATATACCCTACATAATCAAATTTCCAATCATTCACAACACATTAACAAAATTATTAGGAAAACTGGACTACCATGACCAAAGATGTTACAGAGTACACACAGTTCTGACAGGGAGAGCAATGATTAAGCAGTGGTCTTCTTTAAGAAACAATTCTACTGATAGACGGTCAAGATGGCGACAGGACTGGAGCGGGGGCGCCAGAAGACAGCATGAGCCTGAGAGGTGTGTGCTGTGCTGCCAGAGTGCTATTTGCATTTCCAAGAGCAACAAAAAAAGAATAAGTCTTTGATCAACTAATCTACAACTATAAAAAAGCAACTACAGATTCGAGGTTTACGGCCGACATTAAAGAAGATTCCTGGGAGCGCCCAAGCCACGCCACAGGGACCGAGTGAGCAGCCTGAGGCGGTGGCGGCTAGGATGGGGACGGCTACGAAGCGGAAATGGAGAGGGAGCCACTCAGCCAGCCCAGCTCTCTGAGTGACCCCCAGCCCAGCCCTACTCACAGGGCAGACGCCCATCTGGCTTCCGTCTGCCCCACTAGGCCAGTCACCAGCCTGGGGCTGCCTCCATTTCCTCAGGTCGAGGAGGAGCCGGCCGGCTCAGCCAGGCCTGCCCTCCTTGCCCAGCTCGGTTCCTCACTGAGCCTTCCCACTTCCTTGCCCCAGCGCGGGGCCTCCCGGGGTCTGCGGACCGGCCTCACATCCCACTTCCCCCGCAGTTCTCTGGCGGGGCTGGTGGCGTGGGGAGCCCCTGGCCAGTGTCGGGAGGTCAGGGAAGAATGGGCCGGGCCAATTGTCACTCTACCGCACCCTGGGCTCCGGCCCCAGTAAACTTCCTGTTACCAGGAGGCAGATACCATCTCTGTGGCCATCAGTTCAGTAAAACGCCTAACTGATTTATAGTTAGGAAAAGTGTGATCAGAGCGCTTCCGAGCTCGTTTGAACCTGCCGGAGAGCTGACTGCAGGCGGGTGCCGTAGTCAGTCCGCGCCAGGGGGAATCAAAGAGGAACTGTGTGCTGCAGGCTCCTCCCCTGAGGAGCTCACACTCCAGTGTGGGAGATAAGACAAGTACACAGATAACTGCAATAGCAGGAGGAAGGTGAGCAGTCCCGAGAAAGCCCTATACAGTGCTACAAAGGCAACCAGAGCAACCAGTCGTCTGCGCATAGCAGAAACCTGAAAGACTTCCTGTGCGGGGCGGTGCCGAGCAGGGGCTTGAAGACCCGGCTGATAGACGAGGGAAGCAGAAGACACGTCCCAGCCCAGTCTAGAGCGCATAGAGTGGAGACACGCCCGGCTAGGGAGGCGGAGACTCAGCAGAAAACACATACCCTGCGGGCAGCCTCTGCGAAGTCCAACAGCCCTGCCTAGTGCGCACAGAGCGGGGAGACGTCCGGCTAGGGAGGCAGAGACTCGGAAGAAAACACACACCCTGCAGGCCGCCTCTGCGAGGTCCAACAGCCCTGCCTAGTGCGCACAGAGTGGGGAGACGTCCGGCTAGGGAGGCAGAGACTCAGAAGAAAACACCCTGCGGGCCGCCTCTGTGAGGTCCAACAGCCCAGCAGAGTCCAAGCTGACCAGGGAGGTGGCTCCCAGGAGAGGCCCAAGACCC